CAAAAAGAAAAAAAAAGTTTGTTGAAGAGGGGTTGGGGGGGGGGGGGGGGGGGAAGAGGGAGAGGGAACGAGAACGAGAACACCAAACAGACTAGGAAAAAAGAATAAAAAATGATTATCAAGTGGCCATGAGTAAAATAAGACTGGAAATTTGGTTTATGATCATTACAGGAGGCCGGTTCTGGAATGGCCTCTCATAGGCGTAGTGGATCAAACTAGTTGTTAAGGGGGGCTGTCAGTTTTACGACCCAAGTTTATATGATCAGGTGGCCTGCAATAGCTGCAGAATGGGCCATACAGCCGGGAGGTTCTTTGCACTCCTGTGTTTCTGGTGAGTCTGAGGGAGTCGAGGGGCTTGAGAGGGATGGAAGAAGAGCATGATGCTGTAGAAGGAAATGTGGAAACCAGGAATTGAAACTGGAGAGGATGAGAAGGAAACATAAACTGTAAGTTGAAATGATTGACCAGGGAATCTGGGAGTTGACAGCCATTGCAGGGAGTTTGCTCCAGTCTTGGTCTGGATATTAGATTACACCAGTCTCTGCCTCACGTCTGTGCCTGTGAAAGTGACTCCCTGATACTGACTCTCCTCTTTGTCCCCTTTTAGGCATAGCCTGATGCAGATGTGCTGGCAGTACAACCCCAAAATGCGCCCGACGTTCATTGAGATCATTGAGATGCTGAAGGAGGACTTGCACCCCAGCTTCCGGGAGGTCTCGTTCTTTTACAGTGAAGAAAACAAACCTCCCGAGACAGAGGAGTTTGAGATGGACTTTGAGAACATGGAGAGCATTCCCCTTGACCCTTCCTCCTATTCGCAGAGGGACAAAGCTCTGGGGCGGGACAATGGGCCCTCCATGGGCCTCAAGGGGAACTATGAAGAGCATATACCTTACACTCACATGAACGGTGGCAAGAAAAATGGGCGGATTCTGTCCATGCCCAGGTCAAGCCCTTCCTAACACCTACTGTTTGGCCCAAAGGTTGTGTCTTTGCTTTTCTCCTCCATGAATCTCAGGACTCTTGTTATTGCTGCCACAGCGTATGACATACAACTACGAACTTTCTGTTCAGATTTTTAATCATTCTATGATTAAGAGACTTTTTGATAAGTTGAGTGGTTGTCAATGGACTTATCTGTGAACATAAATGGAAGAGGTTTCCATGGTGGCTGTCCCTTCTGTAGCCATGGTTCAAAACAGGAACTGACCTAATAAGTTAGGTTGAAAGAAGAAAATCCACATTTGCCAGCAAAGGAAATGAAAATGGATGATGTCTGAGCTACATTATAAAAGTGCAGAACAAAACTTCTGCAGTTCGTAAATGGTCTCAGAAGAATTCCAAGCTTGATGGCATCCTCTTCAGAAACATTGTTTTTTCACTACAGCCGAAGGATTTTAACACCCATCAATTGGACATGCCATTTCCTCAGATTGACCAATAGCTGCTGCTTTTCATACTTTTTTAATGAGTTAAATCCGTGTGTGTGTGTGTGTGTGTGTGTGTGTGTGTGTGTGCGCGCGCACACGTGCGCAGTATAAATACATGGGGTGTATATACAAAAATATACACTTCTTTTGTACATAAGTTTTGTATGTTCTCACAGAAGCGTCCCTCTTGTTGGAAGTGTGTACTCCTCTCTTTCCCAGTTTCCTGGAGTGATTGAACTCTAAACAGATTATTTTTGTACTAAGGACTCTTGGGAGTAGTTTTCTCTCATTAGCATATAAAAAAATATGCTAGGAGCCAAAGGAGTAGAAATCTGAGATTTGTGGCTACTTTCAAGACCAAACAAAACAGGAACCCCTAGACCTGCTATCAAGCTTTCTGTCCTTATTGCATTGAGAATATATATTGTTTGTTGTAACATATTTAAAATATTTTTAGTTTTAAATGTTAACTACCATATAAATTATTGACTGTTTCTGATCCTTTTCGGGGGAGAAGATTGGAGAGTTTGTTTGGTCTTAAAGTGGTACATGGATTTCGGAATGAACTTTGTTTTAGCTGATTACCCGCTTAGGAACTACAAAGCACGTGTTAAGTTTGTACTTGACAAGGCTTTCAAGTACAGTTTCATGATTTATATCCAAGTCAGCTGGCTCCAGTGAAAGCCCCAAGATACAGATGTTTGGACTTGTTGTTTGGCGGGAGATGGCAAAGCATTGTTTCGCCTCCTGTCGTGCAACTTCACTTTCTTTCCCTTCCTTGTGCACTTTTCCACAGACTTTGGAGAAAATGGCTCCAGGTGAAAGAACGAAAACTCTTAACAGAACAGAGACTAATCCAAGTGCCAGGCTTCTGGGCTCCCTAAGTGGAGTTGAAGCTGAACGTGACTGTGGGGGGCTAACCTGTGCCTGTCTGCAGCCTGCAAGGGCATTCAGCCTTGCACAGCAAGTGGGACTTTGGCATTTTCCTGAGATACCTGCACCATGCCTCATGGATAGTTACGGGGCCGTTTTGTTCTTAGCTAACGCCTCCAGCTCTTCAGGATGCTAACTTGTGGGTTTGGGGCTGGGCTTTGTTTTGCTGCTGTTTGCATAAATGGCAAAGCTGTTGGGCTTAGGGTGTTAGACAAGCATCATGAAACTACGTCTTTTACAGTGATGAAAGGACGTCCTGTCAGGGCAAGGGGCTGTAGCCGAGGGCAGTGAATGTAAGAAGCAAACCTCCTGGATGTTGCAGGCTATTGTAATGCGGGTGAAGGTTTCGAAGGGAGACAGAAGGTGAAAATCAGCAGCCTTGCTTTGTGGACAGCTCAGGGAGCCATGACTAACACAGTGGCCCCATGAGTTCCCTGTGTTGGGAATAAATGGTGCATTCCTGGCTCCTCTGGACATGGCACTAGGCAGGCATCTGTGCGCTTGTTTTCCAGAGCACGTGTAGCTGCTTCGTCCTCCCTGCAATTGAAAGACCAATCATTGAAAATAAAATACGGGCTGGCGCTAATAGGGGGCACATCACTGATCCCTCCCTGCTAACCCAAAACCACAGATGCCTGGTAGCATAGCAGCTAGGTAGAGGATTATGGATGTGCTGCACCTCCTGAAAGGAACAGCGCCCTCTTGTGTTTGTAGGGCCTGACTCAGTCAGGACAAAAGGAGAAGGTACAAAAAGATGGTTCACAAAATGAGATGCAAAGTGTGTTTGCATAAATCTGAGGCCAGGATCTTACAGTCGGAAAGGCCTAGCTTGCATTCTTGTGCTTTACAAACTAGTAGCTATTTAGCAGCTCTATGCCACACTGCAGGGAAGAAGTATTCACACACTTTTCTAATTGAGAGGTTTCCTTTTTAGGGAAATTTTTATTTATTTTAATATAAAATAAATCACTGTAAAAACATACAATTTGCTTTCTTAAAACATACAAAATGTGTACATTTTTATCTTTAAAAACTAGGCAAGAGGGTGTGGTGGGGTTTTTTGTCCTGTTCTGGCACAGTCTACCTCAGTGTCCCATAAGTAGATTTTTAATATTGTGCATCTCTAGACTTGATGAAATAGTCTGGTCTGGACCTATTGTGAATTGGGGAAAATTGTTATCAGCAGATTCCAATACAAGGGACCAGTCACCGGATGGATGGGAGAACAGCAAGTCATTATTTATCACTTCACTTAAGCAGTAACGACCAAAGACCGTATTTGTGGCTCCAAGTAAGCAATGGCCATATTTGCCTGATGCAGTCTTCTGAGTTCTGCTGTGATCAAGAAAATATCCTGATATGGACAAAATAGCAATTTCCGAGGCTTAATATTTTAAGCATTTGGACATCCTGATATAATGCCCTGAAATAGAATAAATGGCATTTGTTTGGAATAGCATATGACCAGTGTGGACCAGATAATCAACAGTGGTTAATAGGTCTGGTTTGAGTAGGACAGCTTGGCTTGTATCCATGTTCTCAGTTTATACTAGTGTGAATCTGGAGTAAATGCTAGCAGGCTGTGTCCCCTGAAGTACAACTTTCTCACCAGACTGTTGCTTTAGGATCATTGCAGAATAGAAGTGATTGTCTCTAGCTGCTATTGGCACTGTAGAAGACCATATACGTGCCCAACCATTGGAAGCCCAGATTGGGTTTGGCTGGCTTTCGTCGATATTGGTTGGCTCTGTGGAATGCACGTGACTTGCAGTATCCAGCTCCTTGAAGAAGGCAGGGAATACGTTCTGTGTTTTGTGGTCCAGGCAGTCTCTTCACATGGCATAAATACATGTTCCATCCTCGCATGGATGACTTCAGTCATCTCTCTTGCTCTGCATGTGTATTGGGGGCAGAGAGAGTGTTTGAAATCCTGTTCCTTTTTAAAAAGCATCAGCTGTTTCAGCAATTAGCTTTTAGAGCTGATGCATTTCTGTAGAGGTGAGAAGCACAATTGAAAAGGCTCTGCTCAAGCTCAAAGTTTGCTTTGGAAAGTCTTCATTTTTAGCCCACAGTTGACATTGTGGTCCACACTGTTAAAATTCTCTTGATCCTTTACCGCGTTGAGGCTCGGAAGATGCCTGGAGGGCCTTGCTGGGAACTACATTTATAACACCAGCAGGACCCGTGCACGAATAGAATTGGCGAGATCTGTGCTTGGTAAACAAAAGTGTCTGGTGTTTAGCTATTCCTACTCACTCCTTGGCAGAAAGGTGTTCGTAATAACTGGCTTGTTCTTATCCGTGGGGAGCTGCAGCTCTTGTGAACTTAACAGACGCGTATGGGAGCTGAAAGTGCCATGACTGTAACAGAAGCACAGGCTCATGATGCAGGAGAAATCCTGCCTTTTGGTGAGTGGCGAGGAGGAGAACAATAGCCCAGGACCTAAAGTGGAATGGCTAAGGATGAGCAGCTACAGCACATTAACTGAGAAGCCCTATTTCTCGTTGCCCAAAGCACGATTCACTGGCTATCATTGGTACTGGCAACCACAGCATAGGCCTGGATGCATACCCTTCCAAACATTCCCCCGAAAACTGATCCTGCTGCCTTGTGATGCAAGTAGGAAGTTGTCCCATCCCTGCTTCCTGGCTCCCCCCCCCCTGCCCCTGGAAAGGGTGTCCAACCCCGCCTTGTAACACTACTTCAAAAGCTAGAAAAGCCGTGAGTCTCTGTGTGCTGCACTGCTGTCGTGCTGTTAAAGCGTGAGAACAGACAGGCGTCTTGGAAGAATTTGCACGTTCAATTCAGTTGCCACTTTCTGAATGCCTCTTGCAAAGCGGGTGGTACTTCACTTGCAGTACAGCACATTTCACTGCAAAAACCTATTGGCTAGGTTAAAAAATGTCTGTTGTGGCTGCTTGTAAATATTCTATTGTTGTACAATGGAAGAGCTAATTATCATTGACTAACGGTGCCAGCAGTGATTAGGTTAGACACGTGACCTGAAATAGACCAAGCTGCAACTTTGAGATCTTTCTTACCTGAGTAGCAGCACAACTACATTGGATGAAACAGGCTGCTGTTAGGTTGCTAAAGGGTACTGTGGATTATGGGTGGTATATCGGTTTCCTGTCAAATTTGTATTGTCATAATGGGACTCTTTTGCTTCATTTTTAGTATGTTGCATATGATGATGGTTTCGCTTGGGGAAATCCCAAAGTTTTTCCTCATGTTATTTACCTAGCATATGGTGGCAACATCTGGAAGGAGGAGGACAGGAGTGAGGGAAATACCGTGCCAATTATCTTTGAGCCTCATTTTTTGGGGGAAGGGGAAAGGAGAGCAAATTCCCTCTTGCATGTCACTGTGCTACGAAGAAGGGGCCTTGAGCTCTAAGCCTTCACCACCGAGCTGGTGCCTCCAGATCCGACTGGAACTGAACACTTGTTTTACAAGTTAGAATTCAAACCAAAATATTTTGTGCCATAAATGTTTGCTGAAGAGGTACATGCTGGGAGTCCCATCAAATGATGTGAGATGGGTTCCAAGGCTCTACTTGCCTGCCTCAAAAGCCACCAGACGAAACTTCTCTTGGAACTTCTCTTTTACGTGGAGACTAGGTGTGCATGTTTTGCGTCATGAACTAATTGCCTTTGACAGCACAGTAGGTGCCACCGATCAGTTTCCGATGAGTAGTGGCCAGGGAAAGGAGCTGTTGAATGAATTGAAATTGAGGAATAGTAACTTCAGAAATACATACAAGTCTGAGATAAGATTAGTTGTTTCTATGAACTTAATAAAAAGGCCAATTTTAATTTATCTTCTGCTTGGCTCGATGTTAACTCTGCTTGCATACTGTACACAAATGCTGATGTAAGAGCATTAACATGCCTCACCCTGTTCTATTTTGGCTTGCCTTGTTATGAATAGCATAAGAATGAGGCCAACCGTAAATTCATCCTTTGAAGGAATTTGAATAATTGAAGGCATTTTTAAAACTTCTGTTTTTATCAAATACATGCTGCCATAAAATATGTCCTTTCTGAAAATAACACACCACCCGTGTCTTTCCAGAAGCACTTATTCTTGCAGTTCAGCACACGTTACTGCACCACAAAGCAAGCTATAAGAGTACAGGTGGAGAAGTGGTGATTTTTATATTATATAATAAAGTTAGTATTAATTTTTACAGTGTTACTCTTTTTTTGCCAAAGTAGTTGCAGTCAGCAAGAAAGAACGTTCCTGAAAGTCATTTTTGTTCTTAAATCCCTAAACTGTCCAAAATCCTAGTAAATGTTTCATTTCACTCATTCCAGAAAATCATGAGTGACGGACAGATGCTTTGGGCCAGACTTAAGGCCATGCCTAACTTTTTCAAATTCCTTTCAATGACTTACACTTAGGCATGCTCTTGAGCTGCCTGCTGAATCAGGTCCAAGGTTAACACTCTGCAAAGTATATTCCCAGTTTAGGTCTGGCTTTGTATTGCAAACTACTTGATAGTCTTTGTAATCCAATGAACATAAAAATATAAGTTGAACTGGGAAATATTGTTACCAAAGCACTCTTCCGTAATTTAAATTCACACAGCAGCACCCAGTAATCCTTCAATGCTCACTACTGAATATATAAGCCCTTCTCCCCCCGAAAATGATGGGTTTTTTAGAGAGGCCACTTTTTACTTTGGAAGGTTGAATTAAAATTTTAAAAGCCAACTTAAAAATGTTTAGCCGTATGTGGGGTGCAGAGTCCACTTGTTCAAGTATCAAACAGTTTGTGTTTGAGGAACTATGCAGATGTGTCATCAAACTCAGCCAAAAACCAATGTTGTTCTGCTTGTACCTTAAATAAACTGAAGGTGAGTTCAGTTACGTATTAGGTGAAGTTCGGTGAAGTCTTTATATTTTCTGTGTT